CAGCCAGCAATTAGGCCCAGGGGTAGCAAGCAAACCTTAGTAATCCTCCAGCTAGAATTTGCACAAAAGGTGCAGGACGATATAATAAAAAACACTCTCCGCTCTTAGCTCAAACTGACCTAGTGTGTCCATGCACAGACATGGTAGGGTTTGCAAATCTAACTGAATTAATGCAAATCTGTGACCTTAAAACACTTGAGAAAAAAAATGTCCAGTCATGGGCTCATTTTTGCTCAGATTTCGGGGCTCAGATTATTTACTGAAGTAATTACAGGGACTGCAGCTCAGTTTACCTGGGACTATAAATTAGGCATAAATCAGGCACTATGAAAAATACTTAACGAAAGCTTGGGGAGACCTAAGTTTGAAACCCCTAACTTCCACTGTGTATATGAGTGAAGGTTAAATAGGATTATTTACTCAGAATCACAGCTCTGAACAGTTAACCTCTAATGAATAATCTGTCAAAAAAATAATCATTTAAGTTAATTCATCAGGAGGCATGACTACATCTGATTAATTCTGCTTGGAAAAGACACTGTTACACAACTGCCAAAACAAAAAGCCTTAAAGGACAAGAGCACATTCTCAAACAAAGATTACATACAGAAGGCAAGTTCAGAGCCTGAACTGCTTCATTAAAAAAATAAACGACGGTCAATCACCAGTGCTAATTAATGCAGAGTCAATGTGGCTTAAGTAGAATTTGAAACATGAAGGAACACTGTGTATCCCTCATTCTCTCCATCTCTTTGTTCATTTCCTCATCATCCATTTATCAGACTCTATATACTTTTCCAGGAGGGAACAATGCAAGCCTTTGTTCCCTAACAGCCCAGTCTCGGTCAGGCTGGCACAGCACCGGGCATCCCATGCCGGTTCTCCACCTGCTAAATGAATCTCACAGGCTGCCGAGTCCTCTCACCTCTCCGCCTGAGTGCCTCGTTAATATCTCTGCTTGCTTGCCATTGGACGCCTCTACGCTGGCTGCATCATACTCAGCTGCTAAGCATGCCAAATTTCATTCTGACTCGGCCCCGATCCAGTTATTGGAAAATCTGTAGTTAATTATAAAGGTTAGGCGTGCATACTGCGTGCCTCTGTCCTCAAACTCATAGGGGACTTTGGCTGAGTAGAGTGGTGCAGTGGTTAGCACAGTTGCCTCCCCCATGCAGTGGGACTTGGGTTTGAGTCTGTGTGTGTGGAGCCGTCAAGAGGAGTGTAACTATCTGGCTCTATTATGCAACTCCTGTGAAGATCTGTAAATTCAGTATGATTGTGGTGAACAGCTTGCAAATAAAAATAACTATTATATAATAATCATCTTAACTCTAACTGATAAACATTATGTCAACAGCGCATACATTTTTTCGACCAGTTTCTTTGTTTTTAATGTGTTTTGTAGAATACATAACTGGCACAAGTAACAGGATATTTGAAAAACTAAGGCTTTCAAATAACGTGAAATATTTAGCAGGGATGTGCATCTCCATCAGTGAAGCCGATGCACTGCACATCTCCCCTCGATGCGTTGACAAAAATCCAATGCATTAAAGAAACATCATGCCACTACTAATGCAATATGATATAATTCACTCTTATTGCGATGCAATGCGATTCGACACGATCTGATTCAACATAATGCAATTTAATTAACGGAATTTGATGTGATGCACAAGGTCTTATACTTCTGAACGTTTATGAACCTAACAGGTACTGGTTTCTAGGTTGATAGCAAGAATTCCGTCAGAAACGCATAGTCAATGGCGACCATGATACGACTAGTTTCCAAGTTGGGAGACGGTAGTTTTTTTCCGAAATTATGCCATCAGCACGTTAATGTTACCAGTGCTTGAAGTGGGGAAAAGCAGGTGCTGGTACTCCACTTGTTATTCAGTACCAGGAGATATTGAGAGGTGTCGGTGGTGTGAAGAGAAAAAGACGGAGGTGCTGGTACTGTGTACCAGTGAGAACCGGGCACTTAAAGCAGTGAGTCTTACGGGCCTGTCCTCGACTATAGGATACTGAGTTAATACCGAGTTAAATGGGAAGCGTTGGCTTGTTGCTACAGCAACCGTGTAAGAGTACACGATCGTCATCCATAGGAACCGTACTTCAAGAAAGCAGCTTACAGTATGACAAGCAAATTGTCAATTATCTATAATGAAAAATGTTATCAGGAATAGGATAAAAGATTTATAAAAGACTGAATATGCATAAATCACTTACGATTAACTATTTTCTGAAAAGCGAGTTATTGATATTGCTTTAATGTAGCTTATTAATAAAGCTTAGGCTTTATACGTATTAAGCATATTTATTTAAATCATGTTACCCTAAAGTATAATTATATAAGTTGAGGTTTCTGGCAGATCCCGTGACTAAAACCATGAATTTCTTTTTAGTCTACGGTTCCTTTGTAAACGCGGGATTTGACTGGTTTCCCCTAAAGTAACATTACATTCATTGACCTAGCAAAAAGTATCTTATTTTAAGCAAAAAATGTATACCCAGTTTTAGTCATAAAGATTAAAAACTGAGTGATACTTATTTGATGTTCATACATGTTTCCATCCCATTTTTAACCAATCAAGTTCTATGATTGCTTTTACATAGTATAGCTTATTAGCTTCAATGCATGAAGTATATCGCAGAGAACGAGGTATTATCCAAGTATTATCGTACCGATTTTTCTTTTATCCGTTTGTACACGGGGGGACCTTACCTCATCTCCCTGCCCGAACTGTAAACCGAGGTCTACTATATGCTCAGTCCTAACGTAGCCATCCCCGTCTTCATCACACACGTCGAACACCTCCCTAAGCTTCTTTAAAAAGAGTATCCGCTGCTGCTCCGGAGTACCGTTTCCATCCATCCCTTTCTGGGGTCACTATAAGAGCGATACCGAAAGGACCCCAGGACCCGCGCAGCGGCGTCCCCACCGCTCTGCTGGAAATCGGAGCGTACGTGACGTCACCAGTATCATTCTATAAACGGAGGGGAGCGCAGGCGGACGGGAGAGATGGATGTGTAGTGATGCGTCGGAAATAATTACATTAATTATTTAAGCAAACTTCTGCTACTCCGCTTTTTCTGTGTAGTTTGCCCGTTTTACTTTACAAGAATAAGGAAGAAAATGAACGCGCAAAAATATTCCTTGAGTATTTTAAATGAAAGGCATTACAGAAAGCAAAAAACTATTGGGAAGAAAACATTAATTTACATTAAATCAGTTATTAAATAACTCTAGTTGAATGTAGATAGATCCTGTTTTTAAAGTCTAAATTTTTTAAAAGTCCAGCGATCCCTCCATTCATCCAAAGGCACGTTATTTCTGGATCACAAGGTTGAGCGGTTACAGCAATTTAAAAAAATATATGGGGGTATATCCGATATCCAATAAACGTCCACATGCCTTTCAGTACTGCTAGTCAACAAACAAAGACGAGTGCTGCATATTTGTAGATACACCCAGTCTTTGAACTGGACCGGTAGGGCTACCCTTTTTTCTTAAGATAAACCCAATTTAGACCCAACGACGCACTTTTTAAAACAGGAATCTTTCTCATTCTTTATCAGTTCGACTATTTTCTCTGTTGGCTGACTGCAGTGGGGTTATAGGCCTATCTGATAAACTCTTCTTTTTGCATGTATCCACAAACTTGGTAAAATCTGATAGCTTCCTTCAATCTTGTTAGGGTCATTTTTGTGGGTAGTCGTGGCCGAGTGGTTAAGGCGATGGACTAGAAATCCATTGGGGTCTCCCCGCGCAGGTTCGAATCCTGCCGACTACGGGGAATCTTTTTAGGGGTGGATAACTAGGTTAACACGCTGATCCGGTGATTGAAAGGTCGCCGGTTGAAATCCAAATAAATTCAAAACGTTGGGAATAAAGGCCGTAACCCCCAGCTGCCTCAGGAACTGCCTGACCCCGAATGCTCAACTATAATACGTCGCTTTAGGTAAAAGCGTTTGCTAAATAAATTACATGTAAAATGAAGCTCTTAGGAGGAATAAGCTTCGGATCAGACATTTGCCAGTGATGTGTTAAATCAAGCGGCAAACTACGAGTTTTTTTTACTACAAAAATCGCACATTTTACTGTCAGACGCTTGACGAACGCGTTGTATGGGTGCAGTGATTATTGCAATATTATTACATAGCACCAAACTTTCCTGTAATCTTGGACCTTAAGTAATTAAGGCGAATTTACAATGATAATGGTGTGCAATGATTAAACAGGATACATACCTTATATTAAATTTCATTGTGATGATTAACATAGACACCATTTAATGTAACACTGCAATAAAAAATAAGTACATTTTGAGTCGGGGTAAGTATAATATGTATCTGTTAAATAAATATTCTCATTGTTTATTTATGATAACGTTTCAATTTAATATATCCAGTGGGTGGCGCTGAATTCAGCTGGAATTAAAAGATCGAAGGCGGAAGGTGAGTTCAGCTGCTTGGATTTGTAAGAATTTTGACTGAAAACTATGGAATATTATATGGAATATAAAACTACACAGCACTTAGACAATATAATCTTAAGTACAACACTAAAAAGGTGTAACCCATAAACAATGTAACCTTAGAAAACTAAATGAAGTCAATGTTTGCTTGTTAAAAGAAACTTTATCTTACGGAGTCGCGAGGTAATTGTTTATCGTCTGGTAAAAAAGAAATTATAAAGAAAATAAGTAAGGTCCGATCAACCATTTTTTTTCCTTCCACAAACGAACATATATAGACGCCATTTACAATGGTAATAGCGACGGGTGTTCTGACGAGTTGAGCTACCTATCGAAACGTGCTATCGAGCCTTTCGGCGCATGTGCAGTTCCACCGTCTTGGAATTAGGGTTAGGTTTTTAGGGTTAGGGTTAAAGTAAGGTTTTTAGGGGTTTTTGGGTGGTTATGGTAAGAGTTAGGGTTAGGGCTATCGATTAGCACTACGGTAGCCTAACTCGACAAAGTAGCTCAACTCGACAGAACAACGGCAGGGGCAGGGAAAAAAAGCAGGATAATCATTATATAACGCATCCCGAAACGCCGTAACCTGCGAATGCCAAGCGGCTGCATGATCTCTGAAAAGCACAGAGCTACGCGCATGCCCAGTGCTGTCCGAGCAGGCGAGGGTGACGCAGGATACGGAGTGCTGGAGAGTTGTTTGGTCTTTTACTCCTAAAAAAGAAGAAAAATCAGGTAAAATGTGTGGCCGCTAATAGAGATTATTTGACTCATTTTTTTTTTGATAGCCTACAAATATTTATTTGTTTCTTTTATCTGTTAGTCATTTCTACAGCCTAGTTATTAGCTGTACTGGAAAAAATAATTGAAGCTACCTACATGGAAGCCTTAAACCGATTTCGTAAATGCATATCAAACAGTTGGTTATAGATGTTAATCTGTATTCATCACCTTAACGTTTCCCATTATACATAATGTAACCTATAATGGTTTTCAATTTTTCAGCATTAGATCCATTTTTTATCATCAGAGGTAGCTCATTTAGTTTGTTTATGTATTTCGATGCCAGCGGTGATTCCAAAATGTCTATCCGCGTATTATTTCCATTTATTGTTACATAATAGAATAAAAATACATTATTGTTAGGCCTTGAAAATCCATCCATCCAACTATTTTCTGTTCCGGGGTAGACCACGAAAATAAACTTGTAAAAAACAGGATGTCAGGAGTTAATCTGATTTTAGTATTATAGCAGACAGAAGCTGCAAACGTTGTCGGCAATGTGTAATAGAGCCCTGCGCAGGACTATTTTTTAAATCCCGTTCCCGCCCACTCCCGCTGAATTTCTGAGTCTCTGTCACTCCCGCCCGCTCCCGGAAAATACATTTATGAAGAAAAAAAAAGTATGAAAATATATTTATAAAGTAGAAAAATATATTTTAGGTTAGTGGCGCGCACTGGCTCTTTCACAGAGGACGTGAAACACTTAAGTTCAAAAATTAAATGCGCTCTCCGCCCATTAACTGATATATCGCACGACGCAGTAAGTTTATATGCGTTGCATGTTTTATTTCATTAGAACAAGAACTGAATAAATAAAAACAAATTCCTAGAAAACCTCTCAGCTTTTAATCGCAAATACAAATCTAACAGAATCTAAACTAGATGTGTCAATATATGCGCAGTTATTTAAAATAAACAAATATATAATGTGCAAACATCACATTTATTATGAACAAGAGCAGTTCAAAAACAGAAGAAAACCCTGAGACAAATTTCAAAGAAATTAAAACTTGCTGAACATCACAATTTAATACATTTTCTTATCTTACTTAAAATCCTGAAGTACCAGATTTGTGCCCGTTGTACACTAGCGCTTTGCCGCACTTCACACAACACAAAGTTCAGCTCTTTACCCTCTTTGTTTGTTACAATTTTGAAGTTTTTCCATATCTCCGATTTCTCCAATTTTAGTTTTGTTTTATATTCTCCTTTCGCAATTTTATTAACAACATCAGCTGCATCCTCCATCCTGCTAAGCTAACAATTCTGGGACCCGCTGTCTATTTTTATCCCGCCTGCTAACTCTGTTGCTCCCGCCCGCGGCAACCTAAAACCCGCCCAATCCCGGGCTTCTGTGTAACGTCAGCAGTTGTTCGACGCGGTGATTATGCTGGCCGCCACAGTTTCAGTTTCGTTTCCTACTCGCAGTTGAGTTTCGTGCGACAGCGGAGCACTTGGATTTCCTCGTCATGGCCGACGAAATGAATTCACTGCTGAGCCTGGAGGAAGAGCTAAGTTGTAGCATATGCCTCTCCGTCTTCGATAACCCGGTGACCACGCCGTGCGGGCATAATTTTTGCCAGGATTGTCTGGATAGGACCTGGCAGGATAACGATCAGGTGGCCCTAGGCTTTAACTGTCCACAGTGCCGGACCCACTTCTACACCAAGCCCGAGCTGAAGAAGAATACGGTTCTCAGCACCGTAGTGAAGACGCTAAAGCTGAGGTTGGAAGATTCCAACGATGTGGACGTGGAGGTTAAGAAGGCGCCAGAAGTGCCTGAAATTATGTGTGACGTCTGTCGGGAAACCAAAGCATATAAGACGTGCCTAACATGCATGGCGTCCTATTGCGAGGAGCATGTGAGGCCGCATAAGGAAAATCCAGTTTTTTCGACGCATCAGATGACAGAGCCGCTGTCAGACCTCAAGGAGCGCATCTGCCTCACTCACAACAAAATGATGGAGTTTTACTGCAGCACGCACAGCCAGTGCATTTGTGTCGTCTGCCTTCCGGAAAAACACAACAGCTGCAGCATCTGCAAGCCAGAGGAACGTCGCAACATCCAGGAAGTAAATATACATTTCTCTTAATGTGTTACGCTTATTACGCATCTAGCGTAACTGCACAACATTCACACTAACATTAACATATTCTTTATTTCTGTAGTCTGAACTAAAGAAAATTATGTATAATCTTGATGGAAAAATAGAGAAGACCCACACAGTTATCAATCAGATGAAGGAGCAGCAGTTTGTACTGAAGGTGGGTGTCTTTCATTAGGCTGGATTTTATTTAATCAGATATTACAATTGTTTGAGTAACTTCTTCATATGCATCATTACTTACTCTGTAGGGTTTTCTCTATTTACTAGTCATGTTACTACAGTAATGTACAGTATGTAGAGGGAATTTATGTATTTAAACATTCTGAAATTCTCTCTAACAAATGCCATTTTATAATAGTACTTTTTATTATATTTATTAAACTGCTCCAAATTCTATTAACTGTATTGCTTATCTCTGGCCAGCATACAAGATATAATAATGCGTGTTTCTGGCTTTGGCTGCTGAGTGTAGTGCTGGTCCTGTGCTCTCTGTCCCCTTGCACATGTTCACCACTTCAGGATTCAGCCAGTAGCAGGAAGAGGATTCTGGAGAGTGAGTTTCGGCAAATCCGGGAACTCATTGACAGGAGTGAGCAGGAAGCCATTAAGCTTGTGGACCGAGAGCAAGACAGTGGGAATGATAAGATCCAGTCTCTGATGAAGCGATTTGCCCTTAACGTGGAACAGATGAAAGGAACGAAAAGTCAGATCGAGAGCCTCTTGAGCAAGAAGGAATCATTCATGTTCCTGCAGGTGTTTTCCTGGCCACAAGCATTTTATATACCTTAATAACCTGTATTTCACATTCACATCACTGTTCCTGTTTCCACAAAGAGCAAATTTGTTGTGTTTCAGTTACAGTATTTCAGAGTTTCTAAATTAAATGGTGCTGCTGAGAAGAATATGAGATCAATATTTATGAACTGTGAAATACTGTATGACATTATTTACGTCCGTGTCCAAAGCACCAGCTAAAAGACCAAATGGTAACAAAACAATTGAGTTGCATTTTTCCTGTATTTCAGGCTAAAGTAAATCTGCCCCGAGCTGTGGACATTAACCCATATGCGCCCAGAGTCAGTGTCAATTCCAAACAGGTGTTAGCCTCTGAGGACTACATACTTGCTCTAAAAAAATTATTTGAAAACATATTGAAAGAGCCAGTTGAGAGGAGGCTTCAGCTGCTGAACACAGGTATGTGTATTACTGTGGTTTACCTCTGATTGCAAATGGCTAATGTAAGAAATAAACGGGAAATGTACATGCTTCTGACAGCTGCGTTTCTGCCAGATAACTCACAACGGCACATTTGTTCATGGTGAATTTTATTAAAGAAATACAGGTATTTTGATTTCCTTGGTCAGGTGATAGAGGATCATCTGCACCTTCTGGGAAATAGGTTGTACATGTCTTGATTCTACTATGCAAACAACTTACAGCAATACATTTTTGGGGGGGGTTTAGGTGACGATATGTTCCGTCAACCTCAGCTACTTAACACAGGTATGTATATTCAGGGGTGTAGGAACCGGAGGGTGATCTGCCTCCCCGTATTTAATTTGGCTTCATTCATCCCCCCAACACACAGACCTTTGTATTTAAATGATCATGTTGTGTCCCCTCAGTCTCAGTCTCTCTCCTACGCCTGTGCATGTATTTGTATAGTTTACCTGTTTTGTAGTTTACTTGTTGTATATGAATTCTGTAAGAAATAGAAGGGAAATGTGCATGAGCCTGACAGTTGCATTTTTGGCAGATACTCGCAACATCACATCTGTCGATGGTGAGTTTTATTAAAGAAATAAAGATGTTTTGATTTGCTGAGCCTGCACTGAGGTGATACAAGATTTTTTAAACTGCACCTTCTGGGAAATAAGTTGGATTATGTAAACAGGGCTGCAATGTTTATTCTCTGCAGATAGAAATAAAGAAGTTCGCCATCCAACGATGCCTGAGTTCCGTGGGACACGTGAGTGCCGAACTGTTTCCACCATGACTTAAATACACGATTCACTTCAGGGATTTCAAACGTGGAGCTTCTCTCCAACCTTTTGTTGTAGCAGTCCTGTAATTCTAGTTGTCAGCGGTTCTTTCTCCTTACTTTTGCCCCAGCTTGGCTTCTCAATTGAAGAACATAACATGTCTTGACTCTGCAATGTCACCAACCTAACAAAGCAATTTTTTTTTTTTGGCGGGGGTGGGGTTTAGGTCGCGATATGTTCCGTCAGCCTCCTGGGCAAGTAGGCGCAAGGAAGAAGTCTCCATGTAAGTTCTTAGGGGTCAGTCATCACTGTTAGTCATACACCTATGATTTGTTGGAGCGTGTGTGTGTGTGTTTTGAATTATATTTATATTACATTGTGGGGACCAAATGGCCCCCACAATGTAATAACCCCTACCCAGCCCATTAGTTTTTAAGGTCGTCATGTTGCGATTAGAGTTTTCCCCATAGAAATAAATGGAGAGTCCCCACAAAGATATAATTACAAACTGTTTGTGGGTGAGTGAGTTCACCTGTCTATTACTGTCAATGAAGATGGATCCTTTTGAACAGGAAACAGATTTTTTTTTTCTGAACATTTCACCCTTGCTTATTTTTTTTTGATGCTTGCTTTCAGTTCCCAAGCCCATGGAAATGAAGGGTGAAAAAACTGACAGTAAGAACATTCTACACTCCCTTTTGTCATTCTCAGTTGAAATGACTTTATCATTTGTACCCTTCGCATACAGTTTAGAATGTTTCAATTTGCATTTAAGAAAGAGATGATCCAGTCTGCATTCCACTGCACATTTTTGTGGTGTGAAAAATACCGATGGATTGCATTTAACGCCCAAAAAAATTACAGAGCATTTGTAAAGCTGAAAAATACGGCATGCCGAGAAAATTGGAAACTTTGAATCTGGTAAAGTTTGCAAGCTGATACAAACTATTCTACTTCAGAAACTCAGAAGAAAAAAACACATCCTCCAAGAGAACCAGCCGCTCCAAAGAACTTTAATGAGCCACCAAAAGCCACAGGCTGTTATATCCCTCTTGGTAAGCAGAAGCACCATTTTCCATATGTGTCGATTTTCAGTTGCACATTAGTATGGAGTTTGCTCTGGGTTTTATTACATAACACAACATGTACATATACAGTTTTATTTCATTTATTCAGAGACCTAGTACATAAAACTGAATTATACAATTTAATTCCCTTTATTTTATTTAGCCTCATTTCCAGCATAGTAATCAGAAAGCATTTAGCAGAAGCCTCAGACAATAGATGACACTGATTTTTATCAAGATATTCGTCACAGTGGGCGTCCCAGGCATCATCTTTCTGGATCAATCACTATCATTGTGCTTCCCCTTCCGGACCCAGAGTCCTCGATTCTCGTTTCTTTGGTCGAACCATCCTAGAAAAATGGCCTCCACGATGTTTTATATATTCATAGCAGAGAGCCCAAAATCTGGCCAAGGACATTACGATGGAGCTCCAGGCAAGACGCCCCAAGCTCGTACCGTGAGAGCAGCCTTTGGAAGATGTAGCTGACCGAATGCTGCTTAGCTGCAGAGTCAGTTATACCCTTGGGCCTTCAGCGTAATGACAGAGCTGAATAAGGCACATTTTCATATAACCAGGGCTAACATAACATAGCAATACAGAGACTAACATTAGGTGCAGAAACACTTATTTTGGTTACATATTTGCAGTATTGTCCTAAGGGTTACATTCACTAAGTGTTATACACTGTTATTCCATATTATGATCCGTTCCTAGACGAGTAATTTGCCGTATGATACTTTCTACTGGTGCTGAGCGATGGCAGCATTGATGCAGCTGCATTTCCAGTCTCTGTAGCAATCATGAGTGTAAACATCTCATAGTTTTTAACAATGTATTGTACTTTTTCCTGTGTTTAGCCAAACACTTTTAAAAATTTTTTTTATTTTAAACGATTTACTGTCTATGATTCCTGTATGTCAAAATAATCGCTGAAAACAAAGTTTACCCCCGTGACTTAGCTGCATAATCCTTAAATAATACAGTATATGTAACCTGTTAATATTATTCATTTTATTTTTTTGTGGATTGTATTGTGTGTTAGGGATGAACGATATTGGAAATGGAAGTTTTAGCGATATTCAGGAGTTGAAAATTAACTATATGGCCAAACATAACTTGTCTACCGACAGGGTCTGTCAAAGTTGCCGGTGCCTTGAGGTTTGCCAGCAGACACAAAACAGTGTTGAGAAGTCGCTTGCTTATGCTTGGTATCGTATATATGAAATACAAAATATATATACAGCAGAAGACAAATGTCTTCCTGACCAGTTATTGTTTGCTTTTCTCCCCTTCACTTATTTTTGTTTAATTTCTTACAAACAAACCACACTGAATGAGTGAGTCCAACAACAAGGATGTAAATGATTGATTTTCTCAAAGTTCATGCAGAAGCAGTAGCGGTGACCTTTAGACTTTGTTAAACATATACTTGATAATGTTGAAAAGGAACCATCATTCAAATTGCAAAGCTTGCTAAGTTTCGGTTTCCTGTGACTGAATAAAAGTATTTTGCTACAACTTATTGGTGGTTTGAACCCAGCAGATTAATCGTGGTCCTTGAGATGTGACAGATGCATGTGATTGAAAAACCATGTCTATGTTAACATTACACACCGTGCAAGCCTAGTGGCACAGTGGCTAGAGCTGCCGCTGCTTTCTGTTTGTGGAGTTTGTGTTTTCAGTGGATCCTTCGGTTTCTCTCCACTGTCCAAAAAAACAACTTAAGTGATTTGAAGTGCCTAAATTTACTGTATGGTGACTGAGCGTGCACCAATTGCAATGCATATTTTATTATAGATGATCACTTGATGAATCGTCAGATTAATCAGTAGATTACTGGATTATTGATATCCATTGTGACAGCACTAGTTATTTACTTATTCAGTGACAGTAGTTGTAATGTACTTGGTTGTAATGTACTTGGTCATATCCAGTTAAAGTATTTTCCACTTTCCTATGGCTTCATCAGAACATAGTCCCATCGTAGTGGAACATATAACATTATTATTACATATAAAGTAGTGGAACACGTGTAGTTAGCTAACAAATCTATGTTTTACACTAGCTTGTGCTGGGCAATTTTGAATTATTGGAATGAAATCATCCATTTCAAATTATTTTTTATTATTTATTTATTATTAGCAATAACCGCTTTGTCGTTTAGTTGTTTCAGTTTTTAGTATCATGCTAATTTCAGAGTTGTTTTTTGGTGGAGATATATAATAAGTGTGGCATGTGTGTGTTTATGTATGTATATGTGTGTGTGTGTGTGTGTGTGTATATAATCATAACATTTATAATTTTATTTTATTTTTTTCCAGAACCAGGAAATATCGCTCAAAGAAAAGATCTACTGAAGTGTGAGTTTGTTTCTTGTTCAAAGTAGTGGAGGTTTGTTTCTCCTTGTAACTCCATTGAATATTCCGGAATGTTGGTGTGCGGTGACTGATTGTTCTCACCCTTTTACCAGACGGCGTTGAACTGACTCTGGATCACACGACGGCCCACAAGCGCATCCTCCTTTTGGATAACCTCACGAAGGCCATGGTGTCTGAGGAGCCGAGTCCTTACCCCGACGGGCCCGGCCGCTTCGCCGTGTGCTCCCAGGTGCTGGCCACCAGAGGCTTCTCTCAAGGACGCCACTACTGGGAGGTCAAGATGAGCAGCAACAATTTCTGCGGCCTTGGCCTGGCCTACAAGAGCATCGACCGCAAGGGCCCTGCCAGCCGGCTGGGCCGCAACAACCAGTCCTGGTGCGTGGAGTGGTTCAACGTTAAGCTGTCTTCCTGGCACAACAGCAAGGAGACAGTGCTGGAAAACCCCAACCCCAGTCGGGTAGGCATCCTGCTGGACTACGATCAGGGTCATGTCACCTTCTTCACCGTGGCCGACAGGGCCTATCCCTTCCACAGTTTCACGCATGGCTTCTCACAGCCTGTTTATCCAGCTTTCTGGATCTTCTCCAGTGGTTCTCACGTCACTCTGTGTAAGATGACCAACTGAGCAGATGCCCATGCAAATTATCCAATGCATGCTTGTAGCCTGGTGTCTCGCTTTCAGCCTGCTATTAGTTTTCATGTTAATCTGTTAAATAACTAATACTTGCATTTTATGGAACAGTATAGTACATTATCTGTGGTTGATCTTGGGTTTGGAAGTGCACCATTAGCAAAATAAAGCTTTATAACACAACAAACAGGGGTAACGCTAATGTGTTTGCTGCGGATTAGCAGTTAGGATAATAGTTAGCATGATCTATTACTGGAGAAGAAAAAATATGAACAATCAAAGCGAAATCAAACATTGATTATTACGAATGATTTAGTTTTTTCTTAAATATATTATCCCACATGTGCCATGTGGTAATTATACAGTAATAACTTCTGTTAGCAGGCACTTCTGTTATGAGCTTCTGCAGCACCATGTGTGTCAGAGACTCATATTTCTAAGTGAAAACCTGGTAATATGAGTAAACATTGTCAGTATGCTAACAGGTATCTCAAAGCCATGTATCCTGAGCATAGCGCTTGTGGTTCACTAGCTAGGTACTGGAATCAGAAACCAGATGCTTTTTGTCACCAATATACACTGGAATGACTGATGTACACTGGAATGACTGATGCGTTCAGTGATGCTGATCACGTTGTACATCCATAATTTGATGCAACTGATGAGGCTGAGAATTATTTTACATCTGGAGATATTACAGACCTCCTCCATATTATACAGACTCCCAGTGAAACATCCAGTCGATTTGGAGTCTGGTGTATTAATAATAAAGTCAAAAGCCTTAATGTTTACTTAAAGCAGTTCAATTTTGGTAATAATTTCCAGGTTTATCATCATGATTGACTTGAAAAGCTAAAATGTGAAAATAACAATCCCTGGTGCTATAAGCCCCATTCATTAGGATTTCAGAAATCAGACTTTGTTGTTTAGCTTATATTGAGATTTTGGTGTTGAAATGCTTTACTATTTGAGGTGACATGCATTTAGTTAATTTTAAAGGTTCTATTAGGGATGTGGCTCAGAATATATGTGATTTTGGATAAAAGTATCTGCCAAATAAGTAAATTGTATACATTGGATGGCAGCATTTTTCCAGTATGTTGAGGTGGAGTCAACACTAGAGGCAAGAGACCTCGAATATATCAGGACTCGGCTCGGCTTTTGCTGACACCAGTGTACTAATGGACTCTATTCTCAATGTAAAGCATTTGGGACCAGTGTGGAAAATGCTGGTTTTCCAGGAGATTCTGTGGAGTACCATGAATGCAGCGGCTTCCAAATAGATATAGTGGACCCTGCTGGTGTTGCGTACCACTTTGCTTGGATTTAGAGAAGATGGAGACTCTAAGCAGGTGAGAAAGCAGTGGTTGTACCTCATCATTGGTCGTCGCCAGGGATCACCAACCTGCTCGCACATGGACAAGCATATCTATGCTGAGACTTGCTTGCATCCATGACAGAATGTTTGGATTGAGAAAAAATACCATGTAAGGTGCATTTTTAGATACAGTGGAAATCACTTATACTGAATCACGTCTGTCTAGGTGAAACTAGATGATCAGTATACGATGAGCACGTCCACATTATGAAAGTACGTTAGAAATGCACCCTGTACTCTGTGAAATTTATACGCAGTCCCACGGATAGAATGCCTTCCACTTTTAGACAGGGCGTTTGGTCACTCGGCCGTTGGGTGTGGGTGGAGCAACATCCCTCCATCCAATAACAGGCACGCCTGTCCAACAGTGAGGCAAAGGACAAGACATTGGGTTGAGCTGAGGTCACGTGCAAATCCTCCTCAGAGATTCCCAAAAAGAGCGACCAAAGGGTGGGCATTGATCACACAGCCCAGGATTTGAGAGAGTGTTCGAAATACTTCTCTCCAGAATTTTTCTAAGCTGGGACAAAGCCGATACATGTGAATCAGTGGAAGAGGAAAAACACAAACATTGCCAGTGTAATATACCTAGTAATGAAATCAAACATTGATTATTACATATAAATTTGTTTGTGAAACTAATGCAAGCATTTACATAATACTTTATCTTAAATATCTTATCTCATATGTGTCATGTGGTAATTATACAGTAATAGCTTCTATTTAAAGTCAGAAAGTTTTTACTGTTTTGTCCAAGCAGCTACTTCTGTTATGAGCTTCATTGAGAAGCTGTACAGTGCCATGTACCGGGTAACATGAGTAAACAGTGTCAGTATGGTGACAGGCATCTCAAAGCTAAGCTTCCACTGCGCTGTTGAAAATGCTGTTTTCACATCCTGAGTGTGGCCATCAAAGAAAATGGAAAATTAATAAAAGCTCTCTGGCCGTGTGTCCCGAGCGTAGCACTTGTGGTTCACTAGCTGGGGTTATTATTATTGATTTATCGGTGTGTTGCTGCAGGACTGTCTGACCATGTCTTCTCAGAAAATGTATGTCATTTTGGATGAAAACATTTACTAAATAAGTAAATTGTATACATTGGATGGCAGCATTTTCTGGTATGTTGAGGTGGAGTCAGCATTAGAGGCAAGAGGCCTCGAATATATCAGGGCTCGGCTTTTGCCGACATCAGTGTCCTAATGGACTCTATTCTCAATGTAAAGCATTTGGGACCAGAGTGGAAAATGCAGCTTTTCCAGGGGATGTTGTGGGGTAGCATCAATGCAGCGGCTTCCACGTAGATTTAGTGGACCCTGCTGGTGTTGCGTTACCTCTTTGCTTGGATTTAGAGAAGATGGAGACTCTAAGCAGGTGAAATAATGGTGGTTGTGCCTCATCATCGGTCATCGCCAGGGATTGTCAACCTGTCTGCATGTGGCGACACTCCATGGCAAAATGTTTTGATTGAGGGAAATACACTATGTAGGCTATGTTTTTAAGTAACATGTCCATGGTAAAAATTCCATTTTGATCAAAGTATCTGTCAGGTTGCCATGGTGTTGACCCCTGGTCATCATAGCAATGTGGCCCACTGTGATACAGGGGAACTGGGCCCTGTACCCATCACTGGTCTCCTTCCTCCAAACATACTTGAGAAATTACAGCCAAATAAACAGGTGATGTTCATTTCTGTTGCCATTGTGTTTGGGCACAGTATTTAAGTGGCGATAGATTCTGTTGTTTCAGCTTGAAATGAACCAGACCTCTGAGGCGCTCTCTTTGGGAAGAAGGAGTTTATTTCCAGATGATGTTCTCACAGCCTTCTCAACCTTCTTCAAAGTTGTGTGTGATACCAGCCTTTTTACGGAGTCTAAGACGGTAGATCTTGTTTGATCACGGCCGGGCAGGAGCCACAAGATAAAAGGGCAGAACCCAGAAGATGGTGACGAATGACTCTGTTCCGTCATCTCACCTTCTGACAGCCTGATTCCTCTTCTTTGGTAGCTGACTTACATTGGATAGCATCTTGCCTTTTGGTCTCAATAGGGAGTGACAGCAGGGTGATTTTCTAATTACCGTTACTATTGAAGGAGGCCACACAAGCTAGAATTTCTGTGTTACGATGTAAGAGAGCAACCAGTAGCATAACAAAGTAACAGCAAAATTCTACAGCGGGCATACAAAATAGATGGATGGGATGGATTTTAACGGTCACCTAGGTAATTTTGGCGGGAATACAAGAATCCTATGTTGAGAGACAATGAACTCATGTTCTAGCTCATAACAGATGTCATTATTTGTATGCTTTGTGTCCTGTAAGGAACGTGCATCTGTCAGGGATCAATGGTAATAAAATGTACCTTGTATGCTGATTCTAAGTCATGTTCGTGTTCCATACACATTGGCAGAGCGCAGACCTTTCAACAGTGATGTGCCTGGTGCTTGTCTTGTGGCTTTACTGGTGATCTCTGTCAACCCGCCAAATATTTGTTTTCCCGTCATGATTAGGTTGATTATTTGGACAAAATTATCAAAAACTGTAAATGAAATAAAGCTTTACTGTGTTAAACAAGTGTTACTAATTTTTTTTCTCACGAACTGACAGTGTCCAGGTTCCTGCGTACACCAATTGAAATGATATTTAGCTTTTTTAGGGTTTTTTTTTTGGGAGGGGGGGTGGGTGTTAAAAATTAAGTCCACTATGTCTTACATGCAGTGAAAACCAAGTGAAGTCCCAGGTTCTTGCAGGTCTATGATAAAATTCTAGAGAGTAGGGAGTTTCATGTCTGAAGAAGAGTTGAGCTGAAACTAAGAGAAAGAAACTATGAAAAAGTGAAATATCTTTTAAATCAATTCTTACTACAGTCAGGGTGCAGTTGGGTGGCTCGAGTGATTACAGATTGTACTGTGGTGTTGAAGAATCTGGGTTGAAACCGGGGGTTGGCCAGGCTAATTCTTTGAGGGTGGTGAGGAGCTGAGCAGGTTACAGGTTTGAATCCTGTGGCTGGGAGATGGAGCCTTATTAGACATCATAACCTAGTTTATCCGGCAAACTCAATGCAGGTTTTTTTATGCAGGTTTTTGGGGTAACCTTTAGATCAGCTGTTCAAACCCAGGTGTGAGGACCCTTCAGTCCAATTAGTCCTTACAAATCTATTTAGGGAGTTGCAGCGAAAACCTGCATACACAGCGGCCCTTTCTGTATAAGATTGGCCACCCCTGACCTAGATGGATAGAAAGCAGTAAAGCCCCTGAAAAACATGTCTTTTTTCACTTTTGGAGTGAACTATATAAAACGGGGGGGATTGGGGGGCTTTTTTCCAATGAGGCGCCATACTATTTAGTGCAATTCCATCACTGAATCTCGATGCATTGCCAACCATCCGATACATTAAAGATATATATACAGTATGAATCAACTACTACTGTGATACGATACGTTTCACCCCTGTTGCGATGCAGTGTGATTCGACACGACGCGATGCATCGCCGGACAAGCTTCCAGCTCAGATGAGACTTGGCTGTGAAACTTGTGGAGAATTGGCCACTAACAGCAGTGGAGAAATGGAGATGGGACATAAAAGAGCATCCTTAAGAAGCAGTTTAGAGAGGGGGAATTAATTTAGACGTAATGTTGATCAAAACGTTTTGGTCACATTTCTAAACATTAAAGGAATAGGGCCTCTACTGAAAATTATATATTATTGTCTCTCTGGCCATGCACTGCTTCTATCTTGGTAACTCCAGTAGACAGTGCTGGGCAGGCCCAAACTGGAAACCCTGGAGGTGCTCCCTCCTCCGATGCCGGACATACTACTGTCAGCAGAACAAGTCCAGCAGGGCTTTGAGCTCGTTCCGTTCCTCAGCCATCAGGTTCCTGCTGCTACGCCGTCCCAACTCCAGGACAGCTTGCGCCATTTTGGGAGACGACCCCGCTTTGATGCTGCACTGTTCTGAACTCTGGGAGGAGCTTGGGCCTGGTCACTGGTGTTCTTTCCCGGAGTGCTGCGGGCTGCTTCCTTCCCACTGCGCGCAGGCGCCTTCATCCTCCACTGCTGGCCACCACTGTCACACTGGAGAGCCACCATGTCTGTGCCGAGGCGGACAGCTGCTCCCAGCACATCCATAGCGGCCCTGCAAGTCCAGGCCGATGATGCAGGGGCTGGAGATGTCAGCAAGACCACCTGTCTGGTCAGCTGGACTCGTAGCTGGACAGCCAGATCTTCCTGTATGGCAGGGGGAAATTGTGGGTGGCTCCTCCAAACAAGGATGTGGAGGTCTGCTGCAAACACTCCCAGGGTCTCGCTGTCCCGCTCCTGCCGGTTCGCCAGTTCTGCCCCCCCCACCCCCACCAACAACCACCCGTGAGCCGTTGCTCCAGTGCCTCCACCAGGGTGGTGAGGTTTTACTGCTCATCAGGAACCAGGCTGAGGAGAACCTGGAGGGCTTCCCCCTCTACTGCCAATGGTAGATGGACCTCCGTCTCCTCATCGCTCCAGGCATTGTGCTGGGCTGCCATCGCACTTGCATGAGGTTGGTCTCCAAGGGAACCCTCCCTCCATAAATCCCTGAGCTCTGTTGATCGCAGCTCTCTCACATGCCAGTGCACCAGGCTGGAAGACTTCCAGGTGGCATGGTGGGTGGGGCACGCTGGATTTATCGAGTCGCCCCGAGGGGGCACAATGCTAATTTCCCCGGGTTTCCTTCTGCTTGGTTGGCACTCGCCATTGTTGCAAGCTGCAGAAAATGGCCGTAGGACCCCTCCGGTCCAATCCTGACACCATTGTGAAGGTGGGTTTCTGAGCCATCTTGCTCTTCAATAATCATGCCGAGGCCAATTCAAGTTTCAAATTTTTAAGCACAGGATGTCTTTTATTGCACCTGTACCAACTCCCCACTCACACGGCCCACCGTGCCCATTACCCCACGTCCTCCTAACACACATGGCAGGCATACACACACACACACACATACATGCACACACATGCTATGCCTGTGTGCCTGTAATCAGAAGGTCGCCGGTTCAAACCCAGCCTCAGCACGTCTGCAGGTCCTTGAGCAAGGCCCTCAACCCCCAGCTCCCTGGGCGCCACTACGGGTGGCTGCCCTTCGCGGGCAACTTACTCTACAAAAGAGCAAGTTCAGGGAGGCGTAAAGAAAATTTCCCCAAGGGGATCAATAAAGTATTGATTATTTAATTATATTAATTTGTTAGCATCATATAATATGTACAAGCATATAATATGAATAACTGGTATATAGCCATTACCATTAAACTACCATTAGTGTATCTGTTACAGTTCTTATTGTGTTGCAGAAAATTTTGGTTATAGTGTAAAAGGAGAAACAAATAGAATATAAGTATTTAAATATATAACAAATGTAAATTATATAAATCACATTTTCATACATGAACATTAAAACATACAAATACAAGTAATCACCTAATTGGTGGGGAAAGACTCTGAAAATTGTCAAATAAGTGGAAAGTGCAGTAAATTAATAAGTATACAGTGTACGTATCTACATGTACCAGTAGTTCTAGAAATTGTACAAGTTGGGGAGTATGTGATGAATATGGCTCAGATGGCAGAATATCAGTAACTTTTGATCTCAGAAGAAAATCACAACGGTGTCTGTATGTGTCTGTATGGTATTATATAGCAGTTACTTAGTTATACCATTGATGTGTTTGTTATGGTTCTTTCTATTATGTCATGGAAAAGGTCATAGTGCAGTGTGGGGGTCATAGTGCAGTATGGGGCAGGGAAACAGGCACGGGAGTCCAAAGGTACGGGGGCAAAACATAGGATTTATTGGGGGCGACACACTCAGGAACACAGAGAACTTCTGATGATAAGACTTTAATAACCAGACTCAGGAAAGACTGACATGGAAGCACTGAAATACACTGAATCATTAAACAGGACTAGGGATGGCTGGTAACCAGGAGGATTCCACACAAACAAGGTGTGGCACGATCAGGGCGTGACATGAACACAGAGCATTCGGGCAAAACATATTTGTTGACTTTTACATTTCCAGTTGATCCATCCCATGATATTCAATTCAATTCAATTTATTTTTATATAGCACCTTTCACAATAGTGTCGCCCCAAGGTGCTTTACATGGGTGTGTTGTGATACATTCCAACGTCGTTAAGACCGAATAATACAAAAACGGGGAAAAACAAAGAAACGAAAGAAAGAAAGCCAGATGGCAACAGAGGAGAGGAAGCAAATATTTTGAAGTAGGGAGAAAAAAAACCTCTGGGGTCCAAGGTCAACAAGCTGCCCCCCCCCCCAAAGAGTGGGCCTGCTTTGATAAACCAAATAAGTATCAGTAACATGGTATAACCAGGTAACTACCATATAATATCATACAGACATAATACTAGAACTTATAGAGGTTGAGGGTGTGGGAAGATTGGGAATAAATGGGGGTGGGGGGATTAACGGAGCTGTCCAGGGAATACATTGTTATCATTCCGACAGCATCTTCTCTAGTTCTACCTCCTCCTAACATTAATGCCAGGCGATCACTCTGAAAAGTACGAGATTATACACATAGTCAACTGAGGAAAGCTCTGGAACCAGGGATCCGGATGCAGAGTCAATGATAATCAGAGACAAGAGATGGGAATCGTGGTCAAAGGTACAAGCCAGGGTCGGTGAGCCAAAAGGCTAGTCGTAGGGGTGCAGGGAAAGTGCAGACACACGCTTATACTGAGAAGGGGACTGAGAAGAAAAGGGCAAGAGATCAGGGATCACAAGAACACAGATGAACACGGGGAGGAGATTCAGGCTTTTGGGAAACAACAGGGAATCGAAAGTAGTGCTTGGCTGTTATACATGAGTTTCTCACATTGAAGGAACCGGTACAACCCGTTCATCTAGGGTACCTACATTGCAAATGCTTCATACTCCACGGAGAGCGACCAAAGCGGGTGTGGCTGCGGTGCAGGGCTGCGGTGTGGCTGCGGTGCAGGGCTGCAGTGGAATCCTGTCTTTCAGCTACATTGTGTGAATAGGCAAGAGTGACGCCTCAAGGTGTTTAAGGCTGAAGTGCTCTTTAGTTCCCATTTACCACCATCAGAGAAGGCAGAGAAATCAGGTAAGACTCGTGGGTGCCAACAGCATCCATTTGGCCACTTATAGTATAGTCTGTAAATACTTATTTGGTTGTGATCTTGGTTAGTGACTTTAGTCCTTTGCTGTACTAAAATAAAAATGAACTACTTTAAGTTACGGTATATAGAAGCATTAAGCTGTTTTTTTTATGAAAGAGTATCTAGTGATTTGCAATATATGCTTATCAGTATTCATAACCCTAAGGTTTCCAGTTATATATTGTAATATGGATATTTTTTTCAGTGTATCATGTGTAGCTGTTTATTTACTGTAATTAATGTAAGCATTTTGATCCCACTGCTAATACCAAAAAGTATCTTAAATGCATATTTCCACCTCTATTTTTTTTCAAGTAAAAAAAAAAGACATTATTGTTATACCAGGAAAATAAGCTTGTCTGACTGCCAGATTTGGTTGCCACAATGTAACATCGGCAGTCGTTTGTCATCCTGATTATACTGGCCACCAGTTTCATTTCTCTGACAGCTGACTTTCGTCTCACAGCAGAACATTTGAAATTCATCGTTATGGCTGATGAAATGTATTCACTGCTGAGCCTGGAGGAAGAGCTGAATTGTAGCATATGCCTCTCCGTCTTCGATAACCCGGTGACCACGCCGTGCGGGCATAATTTTTGCCAGGATTGTCTGGATAAGACCTGGCAGGATAACGATCAGGTGGCCCTAGGCTTTAGCTGTCCACAGTGCCGGACCCATTTCTACACCAAGCCCGAGCTGAAGAAGAACACGGTTCTCAACACCATAGTGAAGACGTTTAAGCTGAGGTTGGAAGGTTCCAATGATGTGGACGTGGAGGTTGAGAAGGTGTCAGAAGTGCCTGAAATTATGTGTGACGTCTGTCGGGAAACCAAAGCATATAAGACGTGCCTAACATGCATGGCGTCCTATTGCGAGGAGCATGTGAGGCCGCATAAGGAAAATCCGGTTTTTTCGATGCATCAGATGACAGAGCCGCTATCAGACCTCAAGGAGCGCATCTGCCTCACTCACAACAAAATGATGGAGTTTTACTGCAGCACGCACAGCCAGTGCATTTGTGTCGTATGTCTTCAAGAAAAACACAACAGCTGCAGCTTCTGCAAGCCAGAGGAAGGACGCAACATCCAGGAAGTAAATATACATTTCTCTTATTGTGTTACGCTTATTACGCATCTAGCGTAACTGCACAACATTCACATTAACATTAATACATTCTTTATTTTTGTAGTCTGAACTAAAGAAAATGATGTATAATCTTGATGGAAAAATAGAGAAGACCCACACAGTTATCACTCAGATGAAGGAGCAGCAGTTTGTACTGAAGGTGGGTGTCTTTCATTAGGCTGGATTTTATTTAATCAGATATTACATTTGTTTGAATGACTTTCTTGTTTCAGATGTGTCATTATTTATTCTTTAAGGCTTTATGTATTTTTTACTAATACACAAACTGTGGCATGCAAAATTTTGGGCACCTCTGGTCAAAATTTCTGTCACTGTGAACACTCAAGTGAGTAGAAGATCAATTGATCTCCAAAACATAAAGTTAAAGATGAAACATTCTTTTCAACATTTTAATCAAGATTAGTGTACAATTTGTTTTGTACAATTTTAGGCTGAAAAAAATGTGCACCATGCAAAAGACTGGGCACCCCAAGAGATCTGAGCTCTCAGATAACTTTTACCAAAGTCTCAGACCTTACTTAGCTTGTTAGGGCTATGGCTTGTTCACAGTCAATAGGAAAAAGCAGGTGATACAAATCTCAAAGCTTTATAAACCTGACTCCTCAGACCTTGTCCCAACAATCAGTAGCCATGGGCTCCTCTAGGCAGCTGCTGTCAGGGTTGGGGCCGGCAGACCCGTCCTCCTTGACTTTTCCCTCATTTGGCCAGCAGGGATCGCTGGTCATCCCACCTTTACCAATCTCTGTCGTATAGCCCTTCAACCCTAATGTGTTTTCCTTGCTCCTGCATAGTTTTTTTTTCTTGCCCCTCATGGGTTTGAGGTGGCTAGAGACCAGTCTCATCTGTTTCCTTGTCGGTGTTTATTTTCTGTCTGGTTTCCTGTCCTAGGTTTTCCCTCCTCGTGTTTTGTTTTGATTTTGTTTTATAACTTTTGTTTTGTTTTGTTAATGTCTCTTAGTTTGGCATCTGTTAAGGTTCCTAGTTTTTGACTCATTCTTAATTGGCTCCACCTGTTGCTTGTTGCCTTGTGTGTTTGTTGGTTGGTTGTCTTAGTCATGTGTCATTCCTGCTCCCTCGTTAGCCCGGTTTTCTGTGTGTGTTTAAGTGCCTGCCTCTTTCTGTTCTGTTGTGAGTCATTGTTATATGTTTGCTGTGTGTTGTTGCTCTGGTTCACGTTTCTGGTTCACGTTTCTGTTTTTTTTTTTTGAGTGTATATCTAAATAAGTTTCTTTGAGTTTATGTTCGGCACCCTACTGTAAGACAAAGCTGGGAATTCACACATTATGATCATTTAAGAAAGCATTACGGCGCCTCATTGCGCCTGCATTTACACTTTATGGTTAACTGTGTGGTAGATTACTTCCTTCAAATGATACAAAGAAATGCCTCAGTCCCATTTGCCTGAACAAAATACAGCTTGTCATAGCCCTGAGCACTCGCTATACATTTAGTTTATATGAAACTTTCTTTAAAGTTGAAAAGAAATACAGAACTTTATGCATCTATGAGACAGACGTCTCCGACATTCCCTGGTAAAATGGCCGCTACGCGCAAATCGTGACGTAATACGCATGTAACTTAATACAATCCATTAGCATACGCTGGAGTGGTGATGCACTGTACTAATGTGCAGCAACTCCTGCACAAATATGACCTTAATGGAAGAGTCATCAGAAGAAAATCTTTCCTGCATCCTTCTGCAAAATTCAATATCAGAAATTTGCACATGAACATCAAAACCTAATGCAAAGTTCTGGGGACTCATAAAGTTAAAATACAGTGGTGCCGGTGGTTCACGAACGCAATCCGTTCCAGGAAAGTGGTGGCCAAGCAATTTGTATGCAAACCAAGGCAATTTTTCCCATAAGAAAGCACTGAAATTCGATTAATTCGTTCAGAAGCCTACCAAATAATTTTTTGTTATTTAATTTTCTGGTTTTTATAGTAAAAACTTTAAAGGAACAACACAATATAGTGTGGCGACGGGCAGACCAGGGCACCGCGGGAGCAGAGAGACATGGAGACTTGCTTGTCGGGGAAATCACTCAGTTTATTAACAGCCCTTAAAGATCTTGTATTGTTGTTGTTAATGGTTGCATTTTCCTATTGTTGCACGTGTGTTTGCCCGTGTCTTGTGTGTGCCCGGTCCAACCCTCGCGTGTATTTAGCGCGTGTAAATCTTCCACCGTGTGGGCATCTTGCAGTTCGGCGTCTGACAACCTTGTGTTTCCCGTCTGCGTATTTGGGTTCGGTGCTCGTTGGGTGCCTGTCGTAGTCCTTCTATTTACAATTGCACGTGGGGCATGCTGGGACATGCGCCCAGTGCTACACTAGTATAAAAAAACGGAATCTGGTCGAGGAATCTGTTTGTCGACCAAATTTTGTATGTATTTTTGGTTGCAAAACAAATTGTGTGTAGGCCAAAGCATTCGTGAGCTGCAGGCACGACTGTATAACTTTTTTGTCCACAATGAGCAAAGGTTTGTTTGAAGGAAATTGGGTGTAGAATGTCACACAAAGAACACAACACAGCTATTCAGCATGGGGGAGGGTTGGTCATGCTTTGACTTGTGTTGCACCCAGTAGCATGAGGGACATTTCACTCGTAGTTCTTTAGGCAAATTGTGAAAGCAAACATCACGGCATCTGTACAAAAGCTGACGATGAACATAGGATGTCATCTATAACAGGGCAATGATCCGAAACACACTGCAAAATCCACAATGGACCACCTGAAGTGGCACAAGCTGACGGTTTTGGAATTGGCCCTCACAGTCCCCTGACCTAAACATCAGGAACCTGTGGATAGACCTCAAAAGAGCAGAGCATACAAGACGGGCCAAGAATCTCAAAGAACTTGAAGCATTTTTTGGGAAAGAATGGGCTGAAGTCCCCCAAACAAGAAATGAAAGAATATTTGGTTACATAAAGCATTCACAAGCATTTACACTTGCCAAAGGGGGTGTCACTAAGTGCTGATCGTGCAGGGGGGCCAAACTTTTGCTTCGGGCCCTTTTCCTTTTTTAATTCTGAAACTGTGTATGGAAATAAAAATTTCCTTAAAATATTACAGAAATTTGTCTTCTTTAACTTTCTGCCTTTTGGAAATCAGGTCATCGTTTACAGTAGTCTCCCTGTACCCATGGCTGATATGTTCCAAGATCTACTGCAGACAGTCAAAACCTTGGATAATAGCGAATTATCTGCAGACCCCGCATATAACGTGATTTGCATATACATACATATGGTAAAGTTTAATTGATAAATTATGCACTGTAAGACATTATCAACATTAAATACATAATAATAAAATACATTGTATATTATTGAATGAAAGGGATTTTGACATTTTAGCCTGAGTCTCAAGAGATGATATAGCAATGAAAAAATATTAAGTGTCAAGGGACGACAAGGGATGACAGAACAATTAAAATCATACTTTTTTATGTCCCTCAAAGGACGAAGGAACAATGGAAAAACAAAGGCTACTGTTACACATTTTGCAATGAAAAATATTGTATCATGTACAGTGTATGTATATGACCTGTCATGATAAAAATGTAGTTGTTAAAACATATCTTAGCCTATTATGGTTGAAACTTAAGAACTGTTTCTGGAATTTTCAAACTTAATTTCCAGATTTTAAACTGGTTATCAGAGTGCCACTGTACTTGCTTAGCTATTCACAGTAAAAAACTTTTGCATGCCACTGTATCAGCAGAGTAGTATATAGTGGGAATCGATGTATTTAAACATTCTGACATTCTATTAATAGCAAATGTGATAACGTTACATTTACTGAACTGCAGTGAACACTATGAAATGTACTGCATATCTGTGGGCAGTTCAGTGTTATTCACTTGGAAATCTGAGAAAGGTTGAACTGGTGAAAGAGCAAACAAAATGTAACGATGCATGTTTCTTGGCTGCTGAGTGTAGTGCTGGTCCTGTGCTCTCTGTTCCCTTGCACATGTTCACCACTTCAGGATTCAGCCAGTAGCAAGAAGAGGATTCTGGAGAGTGAGTTTCGGCAAATCCGGGAACTCATTGACAGAAGTGAGCAGGAAGCCATGAAGCTTGTGGACCAAGAGCAAGACAGTGGGAATGAAAAGATCCAGTCTCTGATGAAGCGATCTGCCCTAAACGTGGAACAGATGAAGGAAACGAAAAATCAGATCGAGAGCCTCTTGAGCAAGAAGGAATCATTCATGTTCTTGCAGGTGTTTTCCTGGCCACAAGCATTTTATATACCTTAATAACCTGTATTTCACATTTACATCACTGTTCCTGTTTCCACAAAGAGCAAATTTGTTGTGTTTCAGTTACAGTATTTCAGAGTTTCTAAATTAAATGGTGCTGCTGAGAAGAATATGAGATCAATATTTATGAACTGTGAAATACTGTATGACACTATTTACATCAGTGTCCAAAGCACCAGCTAAAAGACCAAATGGTAACAAAACAATTCATTTACATTTTTCCTGTATTTCAGACTAAAGTAAATCTGCCCAGAGCAGCGGACATTAACCCATATGTGCCCAGAGTCCATGTCAATTCCAGACAGGTTTCAGCCTATGAGGCCTACACTGTTGCTCTGAAGAAATTCCTTGAAAACTTGTTGAAGGCACCAGCTGAGAAGAGGCTTCAGCTGCTGAATGCAGGTATGTGTATTTGTGTGATTTATCTCTGATTGCATATGAATTCTGACAGCTTCTGACAGCTGCGTTTCAGGCAGATACTCACAACAGCACATCTGGATGCTACTGATGAGTTTTATTAAATAAAGATGTTTTGATTGGCTGGGTCAGGACTGAGGTGATACAAGGTTTTTCAGGCTGTACCTTCTGGGAAATAAGTTGTTCATGTCTTGATTCTGTTGTGCAAACAACTTACAGCAATACATTTTTGGGGGGGTTTAGGTGACGATATGTTCCGTCAACCTCAGCTACTTAACACAGGTATGTATATTCAGGGGTGTAGGAACCGGAGGGTGATCTGCCTCCCCGTATTTAATTTGGCTTCATTCATCCCCCCAACACACAGACCTTTGTATTTAAATGATCCTGTTGTGTCCCCTCAGTCTCAGTCTCTCTCCTACGCCTGTGCATGTCTTTGTATAGTTCACATATTTTGTAGTTTACTTTGTTGTATATGAATTCTGTAAGAAATAGAAGGGAAATGTGCATGAGCCTGACAGTTGCATTTTTGGCAGATACTCGCAACAGCACATCTGTCGATGGTGAGTTTTATTAAAGAAATAAAGATGTTTTGATTTGCTGAGTCTGCACTTAGGATATAACATTTTTTTAAATCTGCACCTTCTGGGAAATAAGTTGGATTATGGAAACAG